CTGAGGACGGGGTCATTTTCCCCTGAAGTTCCGCAGTAGGGGAGGAAGCCTGGCGCTTAGGAGGCTGCTGATTCAAGGCAGCTTGCAGCGGCTGCAGGGCTGTATCAAAGAGGAGCATACAAAGGCTCCTCTCCCTGTCTTTCCTGGCTCTGGAGGCTTTTGGGGGATGTGAGACTCCCCCAGGCAACGAATACATTCGGCATGGTCGCCCAAGGCATTGCCTCACGGCAGAAGCCGCATTTTTTTAAAGCCGGTCCCTGACATTTACTGGCAGCCCGGCCATTAAAGGCAGCTGGCAGGGATCTTACTGAGGACGGGGTCATTTTCCCCTGAAGTTCCGCAGTAGGGGAGGAAGCCTGGCGCTTAGGAGGCTGCTGATTCAAGGCAGCTTGCAGCGGCTGCAGGGCTGTATCAAAGAGGAGCATACAAAGGCTCCTCTCCCTGTCTTTCCTGGCTCTGGAGGCTTTTGGGGGATGTGAGACTCCCCCAGGCAACGAATACATTCGGCATGGTCGCCCAAGGCATTGCCTCACGGCAGAAGCCGCATTTTTTTAAAGCCGGTCCCTGACATTTACTGGCAGCCCGCTGATTTTTATCTTTTGTTTTCTTGAACAGTAGGTGGTTAAGGGCTGATAGCCTGGTAATGGCTCTGCCTAGGTATCTTTTGTTCTTTTTATCTTAACAGTCTGTCTTTTTTTTTTTTTTTTAAAGGTGAACAGAGCTATACTGAGAAGCTGACAGGAGAACACCTGGGAGGCGGGAGGTAAGAGCCGTCTGTACTTTCCTCCTGATAGTTCTCTTTGTCTTTCCTCTCTTGAAAGAAACTTTTTTTTTTTAATTTACGGGAAAAAAGAGGGGAGAGGGAAGAAAAGGGAAATTTTTTTACACAAAGGGAGAACTAGAAGCAGTCTAGTTCTTGTGGAGTGAGGAGCGCGGCTACAAGCGTCTGCAGCCTGAGGCGGTAAAGAGGAACTGGCGGAGGGGCCGGACCGCGTGACAGAAAGAGCGCGAAAGCCGCGAGCCTGCGGCACATGTGTGGTCCGGCCGGACACTGCTAATGACAAGTCTCCGTCTGCGGCGCCAGGGCAAGCCCAGCACCCATAGTGGAGCACCTGCGGGAACATCCCCGAAGAAGAACTATGCTTATCCTGCAGCACCAGGAAAGTCTCTGGAGTCTGGTGCCAGAGAACAGTGTCACCTCTTAGAGCCAGACAAGGCGCGGTGCCAGCCACTTGATGCACGGTGATTCCTGGCTTGGTGCCAAGTGAGACTGATGCTGTGGGTGCCAGTGAGCAGTGGCCAGGAAGTTGTGGACCTGGAACAGTGCCTGTCTGCAGATGGGAAGGATTGCATCACAGCGGGCTTGACTCAAGATGGCACCTATCTGGGTGGTGCTAGATGCATGGACGTGTCTGCCTGAAAGGGGCTCTGTGAACTCAATCAAATCTCTGACTGACTCAAATGTGTTGAGCGTGGAAGGCTCCACAATCTTCATCAGGTCTTGATCAGTGGGTGAGTCGCCCGGTGCTGGACTCAAGGCTACCTAGGGTCCCGGAGTCAATGGCTCAACAAGAATTGCCTCTTGACATTTGGTAGGCGAACCCTACCTGCTGGTTCTCTGGCCCATAGTAGGTCTAGCCAACCTATGTGGCAAACAACTCCATCTTCCTTCTTATGTCACTTGGGAGGGAGCCGTGCCTCTGACTTGTAGTGTGGTGTTGGAGACTTGCAGTGTTGGGGCTCCTTTACTGAGTCTTTTCCCTGCATCATTTCTTATTCCAACACCAGGGTGCTCTGCACCAACAAACTTGAGCCTGGATGTTCAGGAACCTTGGGTCTAAGTGCAACTTCCATCAGTTGTTTTAATTGAAGTCTCTCTCTTTGGGGATGTGGAGGGGGCAGGGGAGTGAGGATGCAGAAGTCAATGTTGGGGGACGAGGAGGGGCTCAGGGCAGGAGGCTGTGTGTAGGAAGTGTGTGCAGGGAGGGCAAAGACTTTAATTACTCATGTCTGAAATGAAATTGGAGATGCATTAAATCACAAACTCTTATGCCCTACTGAATAAATTCTACAAATCAGAAGCAGTTTATTGGAGTATGTTAAGCTATGCAAATGTAATACACATTCAAAGATCAACCACAAGAGGGAAAGGTTACACACACTGAATAAGTGACATTGTTAGTTTCAACAAAACATAGTTAATATTTTAATGTTTTCCCCCACAAAATGCAAAAACCAAAGAATCTCTGTAAAAAAAAAAAAATTTGGAGGCAAAAGGATTTCTAGGATCCCTGATAAGTAGCTGCAGAAAATGCAAAAATATTTGTCCCAGCATTACATTTTACTGATATTATGAAGTACACGGGGCACTTGATTCCTAAACTCTGATTCTGAGGTGAAAGACATCATAAAACTAATTATTTCTACATTTTTCAAATGTGACTTTTAAAAATATTAAAGTAGATTCTGCGTCTTAACAACTCTTGATTGCCAGCAAAAAGTTGACATTATTTAGTAGTTGCTAAAAAGTGGAAGGTCAGTTTTGTGGGGCTGCATCCAAGGAAGGACGTGCTGGAGTGTCGGAGTGCAGATATCAGTTGGAAGATTTCAAGTTAACCAGAGTATACACCATTCAAAGTTTTAAAAGCAGCAGCACAACTTTAATTCAAACAGCATAAAGAATACATAATATAATAACTGGAAATATGCTGTCTCACACTGTACAAATTACAAGAAATAAATTCTGCTATGATCCCCATTATCTACATGAAGGATCAAGCTTAATGTCACTAGGGCATGCTTTTCTTGGCAAGGTTGCACTTGCACAAAATAAATAAGCATCCTGAGTGCATAACTAAAAAAAACCCCATCTTATTATATACCCTGTTACTTTCCTGGGAATGTCAAGATTAGCAGAGTCATTTATTAACAACAAGTGGTCCTGTGGAACCTTAGAGACTAACCAAAATATAAAGAATCAGGCTCTTTCATGGGCAAAACCCATTAGTAATTTATTATTTGTCTTATTCGCTCTAAATGAGTTCCCTCAATAAGCTACCCATAAAACACTATTTGGTTAAAATGCCATAATATCCTCAGGCAGGAGTCTTACAAATCATCCTTCTTTGCCCTTTACACTTGCTCAATATATTTTACTGTTATTTCAATAAAATAATATTTGAGAAAGCAATCCCTATATCCCACTAGAAAGATTACTCATTAAAGCACTGTTGGTGAAAAAAATGGAATGTCGTTTAGTACTAGTGGAGAATAGGGTGCAGCTGCGTAATAGAACATCTTATAAATACGAATTAATTATTTATAATGGGGATTATTTCTGGTTTATAGCTAACAGAAAATAGAGTATCTCCACCTCTTGATAGTGATAGAAATGTAGCCGTGTTAGTCTGGTGTAGCTGAAACAAAATACAGGACTATGTAGCACTTTAAAGACTAACAAGATGGTTTATTAGATGATGAACTTTCGTGGGCCAAACCCACTTCCTCAGATCAAGTAGTGGAAGAAAATAGTCAAAACCATATATACCAAAGGATACAATTAAAAAAAAGAACACACATGAAAAGGACAAATCAAATTTCAGAACAGAAGGGGGATGTGGGGGGGGGGGTAAATGTTTTCCCTAACTATCTTACCCATTACAAAGATAGCTTCCCCAATTATAACCTCTAATACCATTAGCTAATGGTATTAGAGGTTATAATTGGGGAAGCTATCTTTGTAATGGGTAAGATAACTTGGGTCTTTGTTGAGACCCACAGGTAGAGTGTTGAATTTTAGCATGAATGACAGTTCAGACTATTCCCTTTCAAGTGCAGATTTAAAAGGCTTCTGAAGCAGGATGCAGGCAATTAAGTCGGTGAGACAGTGTCCTTTCTGGTTGAAATGGCAAGAAACTGTTTTTTCTTTGTGGTCCTGTCTAATATCTGTTTTGTGGGCATTGATTCTTTGGCAAAGTGTCTGAGATGTTTGTCCAATGTACAAAGCAGACGGACACTTTCGGCACACGATAGCATAAATTATATTTCTGGATGCGCAGGAGTATGTATTCTTGATCTTATAACTCACTTGGTTAGGTCCAATAATGGTATCAGCAGAGTGAATATGTGGACAAAGCTGGCAACGGGATTCGTTGCAAGGGAAGGTGCCAGGGTTGGTATTAGTGTGGTATGTCCTGTGGTTGTTGGTAAGAATCATCTTGAGGTTAGGTGGTTGTCTATAGGAGACATCCCCCTTCTGCTGGAAGTGGGTCTGGCCCACGAAAGCTCATCATCTAATAAACCATCTTGTTAGTCTTTAAAGTGCTACATCGTCCTGTATTTTGTTCCACCTCTTGATGTCTTCCAATAAAGACCAGATGCCTTTCTGGAGTGTGTTTTGGTCTGAAACTTGCTACTGGGGCCATACATGAGGCCAATGATAGGAGAGGGTCAAATCAGATGCTCTCTCACTTCTGGCTTTAAAATCTACAAATCCAGGCAGAACTGTGTGTGGCACATTGAGCAGCCTCTGATGTTTTCATGTGTAGCTTGCTTGAACTCCAGAACTAAGACTGAGTGAGGAGGGAGGGGGGTAGAACAGAGGAGAAACAGCTCAAACATCCAAAGGGGCAAGACATTACCTTGCAGGGCAGAGGTGGATATGGCAATGACATCACAATAATAATACCTCAGGTAATTGGTCAAAAGAGATCAGGAGGTGATGACCTCACAGAGCATCCATGACAACAGACTGATAAGAGATGTTGAGGGTAGGTGTGAACTCAGAGACCCCCTGTGGCTTTGCTGCAAGGAGTCTCCTTCTTGAAGTCTCTCCTTCAGTATTGAGAGAGAATTCAGGTTCACATACATGAGAATGAGGAGGAGCCTTTTTAAAGTTTTCCCCTTTCCCACTCCTAACTGATGCCCCTGTATAGACCATGAAATCCTGAGGAGTTTGGTTCCTATGCGGCCTGATCCTCTGTGCTGGGTAAATCCAAAGCACAGTTTGGGGAACTTTTTCCCACCTGAGCCTTTGTCCCATCTTGGGACACTGGAGATCATCATTTTTTGTTTCCCTCTTCCTTCCTTCCACTGGTGAGGAGTGGCTGCTCTCCCTTATTGTGGAAGACCCTCCAAAGGGAAGAGACAGGAAGAGTGCTCTAAACCTTCAGTCTCCAGTCTCTCAGAGTCTCCATGCTGATTGGCTGAGCCTGAGGATAAGGCTCTTCCCTTCCTACTCCGTCCATTCATCTGGCAGCTCCAGAAGTTTAACTGGCTATAGGTCACCCTCAAGATATCACCCCCAGACTGATGAAATAGTGGAGCGGTCTAAAGGGATCCTGAAGGTCTTGAGGGTATTTGTGGAGGAGGATCCCTAGGACCGGCACAAGTTGCTCCCTGCACTCCTCTTCGCCATGCGAGAAGTCCCACAGACCTCTACTGGATTTTCCATTTGAGCTACTCTATGTCAGCATCCCTGGCAAATCCTAGACCTCTTGAGAGAATCCTGAGAGAACTAGGAAACCTGAGTTGCGGTTCTGTCCAGTATATTTTATGAGTACAGGAATGGCTCCAAGAGCTGGGTACTATGGCATGAGAGAACCTGTTATAAGACCAGCATACTCAGGAAACCCACTATGAAGATAGGGTGGTGAAGATGAGGATCTTTGAGCCAGGAGACTGTGTCCTGTTGCTACTATCCCCCTCAGAATCCAAGGTGCTGGCCAAATGGCAAGACTCCTTCCAGATAATCAGCCAAGTTGGGCCTGTTGATTATGAGATCTGCATGTCACAGTGGCAGAGGGACACTTACGTCTACTACATAAACCTCCCGAAGGCCTGGAAAGAATGGGAGGGCCTGAGGATTGCCCATACCCACCAGAACCTGAGTTGCGGCCACTAGCTGATAAATCTGCGGAGCCTGGGACAATGGCTGTTGGCCAAGAACTAAGCCCTAGGCAACAGGAACAAGTCCAGTAGTTAATGGCCAGTTTCCCCTCCATCTTAGCATCTCAGTCAGGGAACACTAAACTGATCCATCATTATATCACAAACCAGGTTTGTGACAAAGGAGAAAAACACCATATCTTATTTGCAACTATATGTTTTATTCATATATTTTGTGGTGGTAAAGAGTTTGTGATTTAGGGAAGAATAAAAAAGAATGAAGGAAGGAACAGGGAATTGGAGGTTCAAAAAGATTTTCCCTCAACTTATGAAAAATATGTATTTCATTACTTATGTATTATTGCGCCAAATGTGGATAGTGCAAGTGATTATATCCAGCATTTGCAATATATACAAATTAGCAAATTTGCTATATGAGTTATTACTCTAACACTTGCAACATATAAATAAGGCATAAATAAAATTCAACATGTAACTCAAAATATTTTATTTCAAAGACAAACAACATTTATCATCAGCTGTTGTGTTCTTTAGGAAAAGAAATAAACCGAGACTATATTTATTTTCTCCCCTTTCATTTATTGAGTGCTTTTTGAAAAATTGTCTCAGACATTATTAAAGAAAAAGAGCCTCTTGATCTAAACAAATCTATTCTATGAATTGTATTTTCAGTATGTGTGTACCTTGATTCTTAATCTTTGAAAGAAAAGGTCACACTACATTTTTTCATCTCATTAAAGCACCCACTAGGACATTCCAAACTGCATCCTCTTTAAGATCAGAGGGATGTGAAGCTAATCTTTAACGATCATTCAGAAAACAGCAGTAAATTAAACTAAAAAAGGGCATTAACAGTTCTTTCTTTTAAGGATTTCTAGAAATATTTAAATATTTAAGACAACCAGTTTATGTAGCTGATAAATAAAAGTGTTCTCTCTTTCATTCTGCCTTTCAGATTGGTTGATGATATGTTTTGAATCCACCTAATAGAAAAAAAAATCAAAATTACAATGTTAGAAAGATGCAAGTTTATACGTTCTTACTTTGCAAACACAAGACATTCTCCTCCACAAGACTGTTCTTTACTTGTTTTCAGGTAACTTTTTGATTGTTCAGACTCTCATAAACTTTGCTCATGTTCTGTATGACATGCTTAAAAATTCGATAAATATTGCTATAAAAACCCCAGCTCACATTATGAATGCTTGTGTCAGAATTCTGTTTCAGGTCCACAGACTTTTCTTATCAAGTAAATAATAATGCAAGCATTTTGTCATTAACATAAAATAAAACTGTTAGATACATCTTCAGATAACGCTCAGACTTCAGATACACTTTCAGATAACATGTTGCTATATAGCTGACACAACAACTTACTTTTACAAAATATTAAAAGCAATGTAGATGAACAAAAGGTTACACTAGCTTACTCATTATCCCACATATTTATGTCCCGCTATTGTTTGTATTATAGTTAAAAAGATCCACGAGTAGCTGTTCTTTGAATTATCAGGTCAAAATGAACCCACTCATATGTATATACATACTGAGAGAGGAATTAATACTGAGAATTGCTTTCCCACTGCTGATCTGTCATATATACTATGAAATAAGTGTCAGCCATATATTTTTCAGTTCTTTAGGCAGTTTAGAAGGAAAAGGAAAATGTGTGACCATTGAAGGTAATGTAGCACTGTGAGGTTCAAGAGCATCTAAAAATATTAAATGAAGCTTTCCCTGAGTGAGAGAGATGGTGAAATAATATATTTTGACATTAAAAAATGGCTACTGACATTTGAAAAATGAGTTGGAAGCATGACTTCTGCTTATGGAAGTATAAAAGGTAGGATGACTACCTGTACTTTGTATTAGAGGATAGGTATTTTCGATTGCCCTTTACACAAAGGGATAGGTGCACCCTCTTTGCTGAGTTTCAGAGTCCGGGTTCCAGCCTGAGCCTCAACAGCTACATTACTATTTTTAACCTTGTAGCATAAGTGAGTTGGCCTGGACAGGTATTTTCTCTCCATTCATACTCCTATAGCAGTGTAGGACAACCTTACAGCACAATTAAGAGAAAATAAACACACTCCTCTCAGTGAAATGCAATGAGTATATTTTCTCTCTGTGCTTATCCCATCTTCTCAATTTCCTTCCCTTCCGAGAAGAGACCTAAATCACTTACCCATCTCAGAAAAGCACCCACTTCCCTTCATCCCCTAAGAT